TCTGAGTCTGCTCCCCCCCCTTCACCCATCTTTCGCTCGCTCTCCTTTCTTTGCACCGCTCTCTCTCTTTTTGTGTGTGTGCGTGCGTGTGTTGACTTTCTGACCCCCTCCCACATCCCCGCGAATAGCGGGTATCCCTCGGTTCCCCGCCACTCCCCCTTCCTGCCGCCCCTTCGTGTTTACCCGGTTGCGGGGGGTGTTGTGCGTGTCCCCTCCCCAAACTTTTTTACTGGCTTTACATTTTTTCTTTCCCGAGCCTCAGCCGAGCCTTGGCAGCTGACACCTTCTCCCTCTGTCCAGCTCTCCCGCTGTCCCATTCAGCCCGGGGAATCCCCCAGCCGGGCCGGCCCGGGGCGGGGGGAGCGGGGGCAGCAGGGGGGCCGGGACTCCTGGAGGCCCGACCTTCTCCCGGAGCGCTTTTCTCTCTCGGCCCACCTCGGACGTTTCCTCTAGCCAAGTGGAGAGTGCAAACAAAGTCCGCTTACAGAGCCCCCAGATGAGTCACTCTTTGGGATGTTGGTCTTCGCTTTTTGCAAGAAACTTAAAAGTAACTGTAGCGATACGTTGGCCATTCTCTTGCCCGCCCGCTCTAGGTGGGGGACCCCTGTTTGGACGATCTAGGCTGCAACTTATTCTTTTTTTTTTTTTTTTTTTTTCCTGCTTCGTTTCTATTTGCAAACGAAGCATTTAGTGGGCAGTAGAGATGAGCTCACGGGGAAACTTCAGAACCGGAGGAGGTTAGGAAGCTCGGCACTTCTAAGTGCGCTCTTCCCGCCTCTCAGCGTTATTTTTCTTCTTTGAATACTTGGTGAAATCCCAAACTCGTAACTGGGGCGCCTTGAGACCTTTCGGAACTAACCATGAACGGGTGCAGAATTTTCAAAAAATTATCCTTCCAGCCACTGGATTCACCTTAGTGGAGTTAATATAGGGCATTGGAGAATGCATACATTTCTTGTTGCGTAGACTTGGTTTATTGTTTTAAGACATATATTTTGTCAAATGTAGGCATTTTATTTTTAAGTCGTTAATGAAATACATTCGGGCTTCTTAAAATTGAAAATACTCAAAATTATAGAACTCAAGAACTTCCCCCTTTTCACATTCTGATCTAGTATTGTTTTATTGTACTTTGATGAGCCTGATAATAATGTGATAAACTAACTTAAAAATGCATTGGAAAAGAAACTATACCTAACTCGTGGGTATCTGGGTGGTTGTAAAGGTGTCAAATGCCTTCCCTAGAAAAAGCTTGCAAATGACCATTTTAAAATATGGGATTGGTGGGCCACTAAAGTGATTTTTCCATGATAAAAACCGTATTAAACCTAGTAGCTATAAACTTAATTGAGATTTAAAAAATCAAGAGTTCTTTATATAAAGGGAAAACCCGTAACTCATCTTTGGAAAGCTAGTTGAAAAATCTTTAAAATACTTTTTAAAGAATTCTTCTTTCCCTGGATAAAGCAAATGCCTAGCATCTATTGATCAACTTTTTAATTATATTTTATATTATTTAATTTTTTTCAGCTATTGAAATCTTTTTTTGCTACCCGATGGAGGAATGTGAAAACAAATATTTGATCCTGGGCTTGGCAATGTGTGCAGTGAAATTTGTTGGAAAACTTAAAATTTAGAGCCAAGGACTGTTGAATGGGTAAAGAGACTATTTCAGTCTTTTCTATGGAAAGGCATGGATAGACTTAATCATTTACGGTTGTAAGTAATTTTTATTGGGGAAATAGAGTTAAATTATCTTGTTTGTTTCCTGGAGCATCCTGTTGGGTTTATATTTTAAAACAATTTAATACCTGCCTGCTTTCCAGACAACCCGGTGGAAAGTGAAAGACATAGCTGTTAAAATGTTTGATGGATGATTCTCCTAACAGGACATTCAAGATATGACTCACCGATGCTAATTTGTTCAGTACAAAATCTTTTACCCTCTGGCACTGGAGATTTCATGGTGCTATATCCTGCTACCCTGGGTGATGAAATAACATTTCTGTTTTGTTTTTTGCCAGCCCCAGAAAAAGGAAAGGTTGAACAGGTTTAAAAAAACCTTGCAGTTGTAAGAGATGGGAGATAAAATTTAAAACTTTGATTCGATGATGCTAGTCAAGTAAAAGCCTATCCAGAAGTTATGCTTTTAATCACTTAACTGAAGGCCAGCAGTGGTTGTTATTTTACTCTGTCTCTCCCCCAGAGAACAAGTGCCCCCCTTAGAAGGCTTCATGTAGAAGTGTGGGGATCCTAGGAATCCTCAGAGAGTGATTCCTGTAGTGGTTCTACAGCATTTCACCTAAGAAGCAGGGACCTGGTGTGACCCTCGTGTGAAAGTGAGCTTCAGCAGTGCTGTAAAAATACTTTATGTTGCCACAGACATCTGAATTGGTAAAATGGCAGTAAGTGCTTTTAGTACTCCATCGTACTAATGGTTGTTTAGAATTGAAAATGCCTCTAAACGCTATAAGTCTGAACTGTGTCCAGAAGAACTGCATTCCCTATTATCTGATCTGTTAGTCTTTGAAATTGTATATCTTGAGCTATCTTCAACTATTAACCATTTATATACTGTATGGAAACTTGAGTATTTACAGCGAGGTTGGAAAAGGTACAATTAGAGTCCAAATTCTATAATGTTTCTACTGATGTCACTTGGGTAGGTAGGCACTGACAGTTACAAGAGTCACAAATTAGATTAAAAGTGGACTGCAAGTCGGACTCGGTGGCTCAGCCTGTAATCCCAGCACTTTGAGAGGCCTAGGTGAGTGGAATGCCTGAGCCCATGGTTCGAGACTCGCCTGGGCAAATTGGCGAGACCTCATCGCTATAATAAATCAAAAATTAGCCGGTCGTGGTAGCACATGCTTGTAGTTCCAGCTACTTGGAAGGCTGAGGCGGAAGGATCACCGGAGCCCAGCAGGTCGAGGCTGCAGTGGCCGGGAGTAGCCACTGCACTACAGTCTGGGTGACAGAGTGAGACTCCAACTCAAAAAAAAAAAAAAGTGAGCTACAATTCAGTATGAGCAGTAAGTCCAGAAAGCTACTCACAAATTACCAGACGGTTTCTAAGAGTGCTTCCAGAACTCAAAGAGTGATTAAATCAAAATTATCACATTGAAGCTGATATCTCTGGATACTACGTTTTCTAATCATTTGGGGGAGACTAGTTCCAGACTTAGCTCTTGTGCTGCCATCAAGTAAACATGGAGCAATGTGTGGTAGATGTTCTCATCCAACTGGGGAGAAGCTGTGTGTGTGTGTCTCCTTGGTTTTCTCTTCCTTAATCAAGTTAGCTGTAGGACTTGTGATTATAGAGTGAGAAGGGTAAATAACTATCTAAAGTATCTAATATGATGGGATGGGCCCCTCCTAGGACATTGTATGTTTAAAATGTTTGGCACTCTTGAGTGCATGTATCCTTTTAGGATTACAAAACTCAAGCATAGGGGCTTGGACTCGCTGTCAAGAGTTTTAAAAATAATATTGGCAAAGAACAACGTATTTGGAAGAACTATTTCAGGAATTTTTTCTATCATTTCCTAAATGTGTATCAGCATGGCGGTATGGAGAATTTTGAAATAATCAGAACCAAGAGATTAACTATTAATAAATATCAAGAACCTGTCCATAATGAAATTTTGGTTTCAGTGCAGCTAAAGAAAATGTCTAGTCCCTGGTTTTGGAGCACATTATAACACTCAATGTCTAATACTTACTGAAAACTACAACTACTGGAAGAAGATGAGCATGAAAGGAATATAAGTATTTATAGTTTGGTTTTTTTCCTTAGTCTGTCTTTGAGAGTTTAGGATTTGAACAGCTAGTGTTGCTAAAG